GAATAAAATAATTCGTATCCACTGTGTACCATCCACAGTTGCTGAGAGTGTAAGAATGGTCACATCAAATGTTAAGCCCTCAGCATGATCCTTCTAGTCAAAACTATCCAGAGAATTGGGATAAAGGAATGCCATTTGTACTTTTCACAATTAGAGATACACCAAATGAATCAACTAAATTCAGTCCATTTGAATTAGTTTTTGGGCATGAGGTGAAAGGACCATGGAAATTAATTAAGAAGAAATTGGTGAATCAGAGTTCAGAAACTGCACATTTGTACTTTGTCAAATATTAGGGAAAGAATAAATAGAGCGGGTGAGTTGACTAGAAACAGGAAGCAGACAAGAAATCAAAAATTCACAATTTTGCTTGAAAAGATAAAGTGTTAGTGTTACTTCCAGTGGTAGGTGAACCTTGAAAGGCAAGGTTTAGTGGGCCTTATCAAATCAAAAAGAGATTGAGTGAGGTGAATTATTTAATAAGAACGCCAGATAGAAAGAAATCTCTTAGCGTGTGTCATGTCAATATTTTCAAAAGGTATTTTGATAAGGAAGGAAAACAAAAGGAGAGTGTTACTGGTTATAACACAGAACAAATGACAAACCAAGTTCAGAGGATGCTGAATTGGACATTCCTCAAATTAAATTGGACAATGAGGAAAAATTGAGTTAAATTACTAAGTTACCTTCCAGAGGAAAATCGAAATGGCCTAAAAGAGTTATTACGATCATATAGAGAGATATGTGGGAATAAGCTAGGAAGTACTAATCTAATTACCCTGCATATAGATAAAGGAAATGCTGTTTCAATTCAGTAACATCCCTACAGACTTAAGTTCTGAGGAAGCGTCACTTGACCTGAAACATTAACTCTGACTTCTTGCCACAGATGCTGCCGGACCTGCTGAGCTTTACCAGTAATCTCTATTTTTGTTTCTAATTTACAGTATCTGCAGTTCTTTCAGTTTTTATTCATTATAGATTTAACCCTCTAAAGTTGGCACTGATTCAAAAAGAGATTGAACACGTACTCAAAGACAATATAATTGAAGTGAGTTGCAGTGAATGGAGCTCACCCATAGTAATGCTGCCAAAACCAATTGGTGCCCAACAATTATGCGTTGACTATCGCAGTTAATGCAGTCACAAAATCTGATTCATATCCTAATTCACATTTGAAACACTGCATTGAGAAGGTGGGACAAACAACTTATATTTTAGAGTTGGACTTATTCAGAGGATCCAGGCAGGTACCTTTATCTGAAAGAGTGAAGGAAACTTTGGCTTTTGAGACACTGAATGGATTGTACCAGTTTAGTCATGCTGTTTGGTATGCAAAATGCGCCAGCCACATTTGAAAGACTGGCCATTAATGTCATTTTGAAATTACCCAATTGTATGGTATACATCGATGATCTGGTGATTTTTAGTCAAACACGAAAAGAACATTTGGAGCATCAATTGGAATTGTTCATTTGACTTTGGGAGGCGGGCTTGGTGATAAACCTGGCTAAAAGTGAATTTGCAAAAGTCCAAGTCACGTTCCTGGGCCATGTCATTGGACATGGACCAATGGCCCCGCAGGATGTGAAAACAAAGGTTAGTGGAGACCTTCCCATACTATCAACGAAGAGGGAAGTACTATGATTTTTGGGACTGAGTGGTTTTTATTGGAAGTTTGTACCAAATTTTAGCAGTGTGGTTACCCCACTGACTGACATGTTGAAGAAGTGCAGAAAATTTCAGTGGACAGAGGAATGTCAGAAGGCATTCGACAGCCTGAAAGCTGTGTTAACCACTGCCCCACTGTTAACCACACCTAATTACACAAAGCCTTGGAGGTGGCTATCGATGTGAGTGATGTGGGTGTCGGTATCGTACCCTTACAGGAAGATGATGAGAAGATAGAAAGAGCTGTTGGATATTTTTGCAGAAAATTGAATAATTATCAACAGAAACATTCCATGATTGAAAAGGAGACCTTGAACTTGGTGTTGGCATTGCAACATTTCAACATTTATATTGCCAGTAATCTGTCTGAAACAATTTGCATATACTAATCATAAACCTTTAAAGGTTTTAGAAAAATTTAAGGATTAAAAATTCCAGATGGAGCTTATTATTGCAACCATTCAATTTGCTTCTATTGTTCCAGCTTTAAAAAAATTTCCCAATGCCCACAGATTATTTACTTCATTCGCTTGGAACAAATCGCTCATCAACCCCATGTCTCAACCTCTGTTCACAAAGGAAAACCAGGACGAAAAATGCCTCTTAAAGCAATAGCATTGTCACAACCCTAATGAAATAAAGATTCTTCTATTCTGGGTTATAAATGGACAATCCCTTATTTTTAAACGGATTCTCCTGGTTCTGGATTTCCCCCCAAGAGAAATGTCCTTTCCACATCCAACCTGTCAAGGCCCCCAGGTACTTCATTTCTTTCAATTAAATCACCTCTTACTCTTCTAACATCCAATGATATAAGACTCCTGTGTCTAACGTTTCCTCAAAAGACAAACTGCACTCATTATTTAGATAATTTCTTCTTTTTTCTATTCTTTTTTTCAAAATAGACAATTTCACATTTTCCCACATTATACTTTATTTGACAGATCTTTGGCCAATCATTTAACCATATCCCATTGTAGCTTCTTTATAAGAAGAAAGAGGAGAAGGGAGGTCTTTTGATCTCTCAAGCCTGTCCTGCCATTCCTGCTGATCTGTCCCAGGCCTCAACCCTTTTCTTGAGGCAGCTCCTCACAGTCCTCAGTTCTCCAATATTTTAAAAATCTACCTATCTACTTTTTAAATACGTTCAATGATAAAACCTCCACAACTCTCTGGGCTAAACAATTCCAGACGTTTACTGCCCTCTGAGAGAATCTCAGTTTTAAATGAGCGCTCACTTATTCTGTAACTATGTTGCCTAGTTTGAGATAACAGAGTTAATGTTTCAGACCTGGTAATAGCTAGGAAAAGGTGGTATATATGCTAATGGTTGGGGAAGGGAGGGTGAAAAGAGTGAGAAGATAGATGGAGACAGAGACAAGTGAGAGAGAAAGAAAGTTACACAGAGAAAGGGATAGTTGATAGTAAGCCATGGAAGGAGAAATAGCGATAATCAGGACCATAAGTAGGTGAAAGCGGGTTTGCTATGTGAAAACAGCCCATATCATAACAAAGCCTGGGGTGTGGGGGTGGTAAAAGACATGGAAGGAGATGCTTAGGCTCCAAAATTATTAAACTCAATATTGAGTCCCGAAGGCTGTACGGTCCCCAAACAAAATATGAGAGATTGTTCTTCCAGCTTGCACCGAGCTTCACTGGTGCACTGCTGCAGACTCAAGACAGAAATGTTGGTCTGGGAAGATGGTAGTGTGTTGAAGTGGCAGGCAGTCAGAAACTCGGGGTCATTTTTACAGACAGAACTTAGGTATTCTGTAAAGCAGTCACGTAGTCTGTGTTTTGTCTCCCCATTGTATAGCAGCTGTGAATGCAGTAGACTAGAGCGAAGTACAGGTAAATCACTGCTTCACCTGGAAAATGTGTCTGGAGTCTTGGATAGTGAGAAGGGAGGAGGTAAACAGGCAAGTGTTGCAACTTCTGCAAATGCATGGAAAGGAGCCATGGGTATGTGGGGAAATGATGATTGTGGATAAGGAGTGAAGCAGGGTGTCCTGGAGGGAACAGTCCATGCGAAATGCTGACAAGGAAGGACAGGGCAATATGTGTCTGGTGGTGGCATCCCACCAGAGGTGGTGGGAATGGCAGCTTTAATTGACATTGATGATTTATCATCAGACAGATAGACTACTCTTCAGGCAGATAGCTTCTTCCTATGCAGTAGGGTAATAACCAATTTTCACAGAATGAAGTTACAAAAACCAAAGGAGCACCTCCTTTCTTTCTCCATTCAATTCTCTTACGAACCCAACTCCTAGCATTCTGTTCAATGCCACACTCGTGTTGAATTGCACTGATTGTGCCTCTAATTATATGCCTTGAGTTAACTCAGCTCCATTTGCATAAAAGCCAGTTTCAGCTAGTTTCCTTAATTTACTAACTTTAGCTGCAATCTAGTGGAGATCTGTTTATCCCTGTCTAAGTGTGGATAAATTTTAGAATTTAAATGATACTTTTCCACTAAATATTATATGTGTATTACAAACAAAATAAGATGTTTGGGAAGGTATTAAGATTCCACTCTCATGACTCCCAGCTCTCTAGTCAAAATTGCATTTAGTGTACCTGTATATATGGATATTTTTAAATCAACCTGTCCAGACATTTTATGGTACATATCTGGAATTTAAACCCAGGCCTCTTGTTCTGGTGGTAAGGACACTACCACTGCACCACAAGAACACTTAAACTATTTTCTCATTAACCCATTCAGAGAGGTTATCATACACCCCCACAGCAGGTGGGACTTGAACCTGGGTCTCCTGGCTGAGTTCGAAGGGTACAACCAGTGTGCCACAGAACCCTTTCAGCTGTATTGATATGCTCTGAATTAGCTCAGGCCATATCATAAAAAGTTTTCATAATTAATTGACATCAGCTGTTTTCCAGTCTCCAGAACCCACTTATACCGATTATCTCAAGCCCTTTTGTGGTGCAGTGGTAGTTTCTACCCCTGAACCAGGATGCCTGGGCTCAAGTCCCACCTGCTCCAGAGGTCTGTCATAACATCTCCAAACAAGTTGTTTAGAAAAATAGTTTAATTAAAAAATATTGATTGTCTCAACTGTCTTCTCTGACATATTGGTAATACATGTTCTACTGAACTCTCTTCCCCCTACCTTACACCTCTTATTTTACTTACAGTTGTTCAGAATGGTCAATGAGTATAATGTGCATCTGTCATTCTGATGCCCCACACAGGCAGTCCTGTATTTAAACACGTCACTAAGTTAGGTAGTTGACAAATTGAGAGCATTAACTTGCACAAATGTTTATAAGGATGAGAACAACTATAATGCCTTCTATTTTAACAGCTTACCATCGACAAGGTGCACCGCAGTAATTTGAAGTATCTTCAAAACATGCAATCTCCATGACCAGAAGGACAATGCAGCAGATGCATCAAACACCACCATCTGTGTGTTCCATTCTAAGCTACACATGATCTTGATTTGGAAGAATGTCACCTTTCCTTCACTGTTGCTGGATGAATATCTTAGAACTGCCTCCTAAACAGCACCATGGGTTAACCTGCACCAAATTTCTCAGCAGTTCAAAAAAGTAGCTCACCACCATGTCCTCAATGGAAATTATAGAAAGCAGCAAATGTTCGCCTTGCCTGTAATGCTCACATACAAATAACTAATAAAAATAAGTCTTGGCCTTTCGCTTGTTGCCTGGGAGCTGGGCCTATATCCCCCAGAACAGCTTCCTAGCTCAGTCAGCATTCTGTAGCCATGTGGGTTGTGAAAGGATAGAAAGACACATTGTGGGTGCAGTTCATTTTCACACAGTTATCAGTTGAACAATAAAATGGAATGGCAGCAGAACAGGTGATCCTCAACTGCCTATTTTCCTCTTGCAGCACAGTGAAATTTAGCCTATCAGTAGCAAGCCTGCCTAGGGCCTTGAGACAACAGAGATGCAGATTCACTGAACCTTGGATTACAGTATATAATGAGCATCGAGGTTGAGCCCAAAAAGTGTAGACACATCACAGTAGCTCTATTTTAGCAATGGTGTTAAATACCAAAGTACTTTCAAGGCATTGTAGAATAAATACAGGGCATTCCAACTGCAACCTTAATTTTTACTCTAAATACATTACAATTCACACAAAAAGTGTCTTGATTATAATGAGCAATCAGGTCTTTGTGCCACAGAGTTTATGCCATTTCTCTTAAATAAAAACAAACTAACACAAATGCTAAAAATCTGAACTAAAACCCGAACATGTAGAAAACACTCAACACCTCAGGCATTGCCTGTAGAGAAAGAAACAGTTAGCATTTCAGTTTGGCTATCTCTTTCTTGCAGAACACTAATGGATGCAACACACGAACTCACGTTTTTTTCTGTCTCTCTCCATGGATGCTCCCTCACCTGCTGAGTCCTTCTAGCATTCTCTGTTCTTATTTATCATCTCACTTAGTAATTCTGAAGGAAGAAATGTCAAAGAACCTTACCTGTGATACATTTCTGACCTCGAACAAGCTGTCACAGATTTCCTCATTCGTTGTGCAAGAGACGAATTTCACTTGTATGGGCCCATATTGCCGAACTCCATTCCTTGGCCAATACTGTAAGCCTGGCTGCATAGTGACAAGCAAGAAAATAAAAGCCAAGATCAATATATCACCAAAATACATATGGAGTCATAATACAGGAGATACTTCTTTTCCAAGTCAGAGTGGCATATTACTTTAGATGCTACAATGCAAGAAACTTCAGGAATTATAGGATTTATTACATCTTAAGATAGCAATGTATAAGCACCATGATGCAAATCTAACATTTTCTGTAGGATTTAAAAACAATCAGATTCAAAATTTGAGTATATCTTATTATCATAATGTAAGTCTGATTGCACTTATTTTGGTTTAAAACTGTGGCCTATTTTGTAGCATAAAGTAAATAACTTGAGCTATAGCAGAAAACAGCTGTGTGATTTTATTGCATAGAGTTTTAATTCCTTTGTTTGTTAAATGCAGTGAGAGATCAGCCCATCTAAAGCAAATTGGTTATTGCTTCCATTAAAGTAGTGCATACCACAGACTTGATGCAACACTCATTTGGATAAGATGGTACTTTTCATTTGTGTAAATGAGACGTAGTTATCTCTAATCAGATACATTTCTGTGACATGGAGACAATAAGGACTGCAGATGCTGGAAGCCAAAGTCTATAGGTGTGAGGCTGGAAAAGCACAGCATGTGAGACAGCATCAGAGGAGCAGGAAAGTCAATGATTAGGACTGAAACCCTTCGTCAGGGCTCTGATGCCAGATTAATGGCAATGCCAAGTCGATAACAATGCACTCACAGAAGATGTACTGGGACAGTGCATCGAAGGTGACAAAGAATCTTCAAATTTGCTATAACACAAGCTGGCACTCAAATGACTCATTTGCAAGGCGCACACTGCAATAATGCAAAAGTGAAATACTGTAGGCACTGGAAATCTGGATTAAGAACAAAACGAACTGGATAAATTCAACAGGTCAGGTGGTATCTGTGGAGTTAAACTGAGTCAATGCCTCATTATCAACCTGAAATGTTAACTCTGTTTTTGTTCACAGATGTTTTCTGACCTATTGAGCTTTTCCAGCATTTTTGATTCTTGGACGCTGCACTGCTTACAGACTCTGCAACATCATATTAAACACAGTGGCTACAATCCCACCCTAAAGTCACAAAGTAATTTACCATATAGGAGGAGGCTATTCAGCTGTCAAGACTGCTTCTTAGGAGTTACAGATGATGGTTACACACTTCAACGTAAAAGTAATAGTCTGAACTGAAAAACGATGACAATACACAACGGGTTGGTTAGCATTTGAAAGAGAAACATGGTGTTTGGAATACCTTTCACCAGAATATTACGGGTCTTGCTCAAAACGTTAATGCGGCTTTTCTTTCTTTTGCTTAATCTGGATTTGCAGCTTTTCTGCTTTAATCACTAACTTACCCAAGCAGAGTTTAATTCGTTAAGTTGGTTCAGCATGATTATTGAAGAACAATTGTAGTCATACACAAGGCTCCAAAAGTCTGCTGCGTCATTTTGAAAAGGATGTGGGGTCACCACAAAAGCTGTTGCTTGGCAGTAGCTCTAAACAGAAATGAGATATAAAAGCAATTCATACATAAGCCTTTTATCCAACCCACAGTTTTATCCATTCTAATTTATGGTATAAATTTATTCTATTCTTTTGTAAAGTTTCTTATCACACAATGCACCAAATTTGTTAGAATGTAATTGTTTTCCAAATAAAGTGCATCTGACCATTACACAAAAGATTTGTTTAGCACAGAATGCCACTATTTTACCTATCGTGCTTGTGCTGGCTCTTTGAAAGAAATATCTAATTAGTATCACTTCCCTATTCTTTGTTTATAATCTGAAAACATTTCCTTTTCAGGTATATTTTCAGTTTCCTTTTGAAAGGTATTATTGTATTTGTTTACATCTGACTTTCAGAGAATGCATTCCAGATCATAAAAATCTCAAGGTTTTTTTCTCATCTCCCCTCTGATTCTTAAATGTATCTTAAACTGTTTCCACAGGTCACTAATTCTACTGTTACTGGCAACAATTTCTTTTCTTTTACTCTCTCAAAAGCCCCATTAATTTTGTTCACCTATATTTTAGCTTCCTATAACTGTCTGCTTTCCCACATAACTGAAGGTCTTCATCTTTCACTCCAGTAAATTTTAGCTTTTTGAAGGGGTGACCAAGAAAGTAGATGAGGGCAGTGCAGTAGACATTATCCACATGGATTTTAGCATTACCTTTGACAAGGTACCGCATGGTAGGCTGTTGAGTAAGATTAAATCTCATGGGGTCCAGGGAGAGCTAGCCAATTAGATATGAAATTGGTTTGATGGTAGAAGACAGACAGTGGTGGTTTCAGACCAGGGACCAGGGACCTGCAGTGTGCCACATGGATTGGTGCAGGTCCACCATTATTTATCATTTATATAAATGATTTGGATTAGAATGAGGAGGCATGGTTCGTAAGTTTGCATATGACACCAAGACTGGGGTGATATTCTGGACAGTGAAGGAGGTTATCTGAGAATGCAGCGAGATCTTGATCGACTGGGCCAGTGGGCTAAGGAATGGCAAATGGAGTTAATTTAGATAAATGCATTTTAGTGGGGCAAACCAGGGCAGGACTTACACAATCAATGGTAGGGCCCTGGGGAGTGTTGTTAAACAAAAAGACCTTGGGGAACAGGTTCATAGCTCCTTAAAAGTGGAATTAGAGGTAGATAGTGTGGAGAAGAACGCTTTCGGCATATTTGCTTTCATTGGTCACAGCATTAAGTTGGGACAGTACAAAATTTTGGTGATGTCACATTTGGGATATTGCATGCAGTTCTGGTCACCCTACTATAGAAAGAATATTATTAAACTAGAAAGAATGCTGAAAAGATTTACTAGAATGCTACCTAGACCAGATGGTTAGAGTTATAAGGAGAGGTTCGATACAGGTGGGCCACTTTCTTTCCTGGAGTATAGGAGACTGAGAAGTGAGTTTATAAAGGTCTATAAAATCATGGGAGCCATACATAACGTAGATAGCGAATAGCTTTTTCCCATGGTAGCACAGTCTAAAACTAGAGGGCATAGGTTTAAAGTGAGAGGGGAGAGATTCAAAAGGGTCCAGAGGGGAGATTTTTTCACACACAGGGTGGTCAGTGTCTGGAACGGGCTGCCAGAGGTAGTGGTGGAAGCAAGAAATTTAAGAAATATTTAGACAGATACTTGGATGGGATAGGTATGGAGGGATATGGATCAAACACAGGCAAATGGGACAAGTTTAATTGTGAAAACTGGGCTGCATGGACAGGTTGGGCCAAAGGGCCTGTTTCCATGCTGAGACCTCTATGACTCTATGTCTAAATGACCCATACACTCTCTCCAAGGTCTTCAGATTGATTCTAAATCCTTTAAATCCTCTTCATAATTTTGAACAACTCTGTTAAAGAAGGGACAAAATTATAAAAAGACGTACATCCAACAAGGTAGCATTGTTGTACTTGTTACTTTCATCATCCACAGTAATGAGTAGTGGAAGGCATCCATCAGGTGGGAGGGTGTCCATATTACAGTTGTTTGTTTGATTCTGAGGTAAGAAAGAGATGCTGGAATCTTTATCATCTGGTTGAGAAGTCACTGAATTAAGAACCTGAAATTGTTATAAGGAATACAAACTTCAATGAGTTGACTTTGAATTATAGGCATATTATTGAAAAGAAATGCCCAGACACATACTTCAAATACTTTCTGTGAGTTCAGTAGAATCTGAAAGAAATAAATTTATATAGCACCTTTCACCACATCAGGTCATTTGAAAGTCCTGCAAATAATGAAGCAGTTTTGCTGTATAATCTCTGTTGCAATGGAGGGGGCATGGCAGCCAACTGTGCACCAAGGTTCCACTAAACAGCAATTAAAGAAATGGTTTGGAAAAATCCACTTTAACTCCCCCTCCCACTGCCCTGTGGACATGTCCATCCTTGGCCTCCTCCACTGTCAGAGTGAGGCCAAATGTAAACTGGAGGAACAATACCTCATATTTTGCCTTGGGAGCTTACAGCCCAATGGCCTAAATATTGACTTTACCAGCTTCAAAATCTCTCCTCCCCCAAACTATCCATCTTCCTACTCACCTATCCACTCCACCATTCCTGTTGACCAACCACAATAACCCCCTATGTGCATCCACCTTTCTCCATCTCACCTCCCCTCCACCCAGCCCCACGACCTCCCTCTACTTATTTCTGGGCTGTCCTCCCCCTCCCCAGTACTGATGAAGGATTTCCAACCAAAATGTTGACTCTCCTGCTCCTCAGAAGCTGTCTGACCTGCTGTGCTTTTCCAGCTCCACATTTATTGACACTGAATTAAATAAATGACATGTTTTTCTTCCATTTGTTCACAGAATGTGGGTGTCACTAGCTAGACTGCATTTATTGTCCATCTTTAATTGTCCTTGAGAAGACAGTGATGAGCTAATTTCTTGAACTGCTGCAATCTTTGGGGTTTTGGATGTTAAGGATTTTTAGGATTTTGACCTAGTGACAGTAAAGAAGTGGCAATACAGTTCTGAGTCAGGATGGTATGTTGCTTAGAAGGGAGCTTGCAGGTGATGACGTTCCCATGTACCTGCTGCTCTTGTTCTTCCAGGTGGAAGAGGTTGCAGGTTTAGAAGGTGATATTTGAAGAGCCTTGGTGAGTTATTGCAGTGCTTTCTGTACACAAAACATTGCATCTATGGTGAAGGGAGTTATTTTTGAAGGCAGTTGATATGGTGTCAGTCATGTGGGCTGCTTTGTTCAGATGTGTCCAGCTTCTAAATGTTGTTGGAATTGAACTCATCCAGTCAAGTAGAGAGTATTCCATCACACTCTTGACTTGTGCCTTATTAATGGTAGAAAAGCTTTGAGGCATGAGGACGCAGTTACTCACCACAGAATTCCTAGCCTCTGACCTAGACTTGTAGTGGTCCAATTCACTTTCCGGTCAATGTTAATCCCCAGGCTATTAACAGGAGGATACGGCAAAGTGAATGCAATGCCAGTGAATATAAAGGAGTGATGGTGGCTACATTCTGTCTTGTTGGAGATGGTTATTCTCTGATACTTGTGTGGCGTGAATGTTACTTGCCACTTAGAGCCCAAGCCAAATGTTGCTTTGATGTCAGGCAGTCACTTTCACCTCAGTACTTGAGGTTAGCGCTTTTGTCCATTCTTAGACCAAGGCTGTAATAAGGGCAGGAGTTGAGATGCCCTGGTGGAATCCATACTGAGCATCAGTGAGTAGAGTATTCCTTTGCAAGTGCCACTTAATAGCACTGTCAATGACTTCTTTCATTATATTGCTGATTATCTATATTTGAATGATTGGACGATATTTCGCTTTTTTAAATTCATTCACAGGATGAGAGCATCGCTGGCTGGGCCAGCATTTATTGCTCAATACTAATTACCCAGGGCAGTTTAAGAGTCAACTAAATTGCTGGGGGTCTGCAGTCACATGTAGGTCAGACCAGGTAAGGATGGTAGATTTCCTTCCCTAAAGGACATTAGTGAACCAGATGAATTTTTCTGACAATTGCCAAACATTTCATGGTCATCATTAGACTCTTAATTCCAGACTTTTTTATTGAATTCAAATTCCACCATTGTATTAGCAGGATTTGAACCTGGGATCCGGGACCCCAGAACATTACCTAGGTCATTGGATTAATAGTTCAGAGATAATACCACCAGGCCATTGCTTGTTGGGTTTATCCTGCTTTTCGTGCACAGGGTATTCCTAGACAATTTTCCACACTGTCAGGTAGATGCCATTGTTGTAGCTCTGTTAGAACAGCTTGGCTAGGAACGAGGCTAGTTCTAGAGCACACATCTTCAGTACTACTGCAGGAATGTAACTGTTTTCTTGCTGTCATGAGGAGTGAATTGAATTGGTTGATGACTGACATCTATGACGCTTGGACCACAGGAGCAGGCTGAGATGGATTATCTACTCTGCACTTCTGGCTAAAGACTGTTGCAAATAGTTTCACCTTGCCTTTTGCACTGATGTATGGCTCCCTCCATTGTTGAAGATGGGGATACTTGTTCAGGATGCAGTTGGATCTGTAAGTTGGTTTTGTGAAACAATGGGATCTTGACATGTTTGTCCACAGATTATGAAGGCAGAAGGGCATGTTAGTAGGGTGGTGAAAAAGGCATATGGGACAATTGCCTTTATCAGTTGAGGCATAGATTACAAAAGCAGGGAAGTCATGTTGGAATTGTATTGAACATTGGTAAGACCACAGCTAGAATACTGTGTGCAGTTCTGGTTGCCACATTACAGGAAGGATATGATTGCACTGCAGTGGGTGCAGAGGAGATTCACCAGGATGCTTCCTGGGATGGGAAATTTAAGTAGAGAGGAAATGTTGGATAGGCTTGAGTTGTTTTTGTTGAAGAGAAAACCAAAGGGCGATCAGATTGAAGTGTACAAGATTATGAGGAACATGGACAGAATGGATAAGGAGCTTCCTCTGAGCTGAAGGGTCAGTCATGAGGGGACACAGGTTCCAGGCGAAGGACAGGACACTTGAGGTATGTGAGGCAAAAATTTCTTGCCCAGAGAGTGGTGACGGTCTGGGATGCTCTTGCTGTGAGTGTGGTAGAGGCGAGTTTCCTCGCATTCTTTTAAAAGTACCTGGATGAGCATTTGGCATATCATAACATTCAAGGCAATGGGCCATGTGCGAGTAGATGGGATTAGGTTCAAAGTCAGGTGGTTCTCACATGTCAGTGCAAATTTGATGGGCCAAAAGGCCTCTTCTGCACTGTATGATTCTTTGATTCTATGTTAGTTAATTGTCCACCATCATTCATAACTAGATGTTGCAGGACTGCACAGCTTAGATGTTATCCATTGGTTGTGGGATCACTTCGCCCTGTCTATTGCTTGTTGCTTCCTTTGCTTGGCAAACAAGTAGCCCTGGTGTTGTAGCTCCACCAGGCTCATAACTTATTTTTATATCTGCCTGGTGCTGCTCCCTTCATGGAACCAAAGTTGTTCTCCTAACTCAATGGCAATGATAGAGTAGAGGATATGCCAAGCCTTGAGGTTATAAATTGTGGTCCACACTTCCTCATGGATGCCCAGTTTTGAGTTGCTAGATCTATTTGAAGTATGTCCCATTTAGCAGGGTGGTGGTGCCAGACAACGTGGTGGAGGGTGGCCTCAGTTTGAAGGTGGGACTTTGTCTCTACAAAGACTGTGCGGAGATCATTGTGCTAAGGGTGGATGCATTTGTTATAGACAGACTAGTGTGGATAAGGTCAAGTAGATGTTTCTTTCTTGTTGGTTCCCTCACCACTTGCAGACACAATCTAGCAGGTTTGTTCTTTCGTACTCAGCCAGCTTAGTTAGTAGGGGTTTACAATGCCACTCTTCCCAACCAAAGGACTTTCTAAGTTTTTGGCACTCTGAATGCTTCCTCCAAGTGGTGTTCAACATGGAGGAGTATTGATTCATCAGCTGAGGTGGGCAGGAGGTTTCCTTGTCTATGTTTTATGCTATGAAACTTCATGGGGTTCAGAGTCAATGTTAAGGACACCATGGACTCCTTGCCAATTGTATACAGTAGTGTCACCACTTGTATGTCCTGCTGATGGGACAGGATGGTCAACGGTGTTGTCTCGTACATGGTCTGTTAGCTGTGATTCTGACTATATCAAGTATGATGTAGCTCTTCTAATTTTGGCATAAGCCTCCAATGTTGGTAAGGAGGGCATTGCAAGGACTGTGGAATCTGTAGTGATTGGAGCAATATCAGTCAAGTGGACCTCATAGATATGGATTCCCTGATTGGGGCTGTTAATCTGGTCCAGGCAGGGAGCCCTGGCTGACAGATATAAAGAGGAGTGTCAGAGGTTCTGTTCACTCTGAGAGCTTGCTCTGAGGGAGCTGGATCAGTATCAAGGAATTCCTGTGTGTAAATAAAAGATGATTTGGTGAAGGGATACAGGCCTCAGTGGAGTTATTTCAACCAGTTCCCTCCCGTGTGAATTATTTAGCATAGAATGTAGGGCTACTCACTTGAAATTCTTCATTGAGCTTTGAGGAGTTATTCTGAGGGTCGACTCTGATCATTTCTTCATAAGTAGATTTGAATTTCTCAACTGATATGGAGGTGTCACCACACAGATGGGCTTCCAAGATCGCATTGTGGATGAAAACATACTGTTCCTTCAAATAAAAGAGAAGTTCATTGTTATTATCCAATAGATTTAGTTTACAGTTTGTCTATAATTATTATTCCTTTCCTATTTTTTAAAGTATGCTCTTGTGTTTTTTTTGGGTCTAGAACACTTAAGATGTCACAGCTCAGATGCCATAAACTATGATCATGAATAAGGGACTATGACTTGAAAATAAAATGATTACACTGAAAGTGCCCTCGTACATGGGTTGTAACTTATTATTGATGTATATATCCAGCATTCTTTCGCTTTAATTATCTAAAAACCCAAAGGAGACAAAAGAATAATTTATGTTCCAATGGAATTTAGATTTTCAACACTTGGACATATTTTCCTGTAATTTTAATGCTATTGTCAATGAGGGTGCTGAAATTATTTTATTTAACTGAATAACTGGAAACTTATCTAATTGTTATTTCTTGGTATTAATTTATTTTCTTCATAATTTGAAATTTCTTTCTACAAATAACTTAATTTCCTTTAAAAATGAAGAACAAAGAGTTTGAAATAATGCATGACAATTTTCATTTTTAACAATCCTTCTTCATGCTGTCTCTGCCCACCTAGGGTTGTGCTCAGAGATGAGTCTGAGAACTTTGACATTTTTACTTGGAAAATGACAGACTTTAGTTAATTTTAAACACTTTTAGTTTTTGGAATGGATTGCCTATCCATTTATAAAAGCTTCATTCTCTTTGCTCATTTTGCCAAATTATTGCTACATTTTTCACTCCACCTCTCTCTTCCTGAACCTTCAGATTTCTCAACATGCCCCTCAGATTCTACACACTTTTCATTTTAGTGCAATGCCTATTGCCTTCCAAAAAACTGTTTGTCCATTACTCCAACACTAAGTACTGCTCTTATCTCCTAATCCTTCCGTCTTCAAAAGGTTGCTCTAAGATTATTATACCCATTTTTCAACTATTTTGCCCATGCACTGCTCCCAGCCACAACACTTTCTATCTCTCAGATGCCAGTGACTGTTCTTTCCCTCTGTTCACTTCTGAGAAGCAAAGACGTTTATATTTTCCTCCTTCTCTCTGAAAACCCCAAAAAACGTTTTGGGCCCTTCTTTCAGGATCACCATTCTCTAGCTTTCCCTTACTGTTGTTAACAACACAGTACATCATGAACAAATTCATAAAATTAAACTCACACATTTGGCAGAATCTGCGGAGAGAGAAAAGGAGTTAACATTTCAAATCCAATATAACTTTTTTTCAAAACTTCAGAAGGATTTTTCAGAAAAAACCCATTTGGTTCACTGATTTCCTTTGGGGAAGGAAATCTGACATCCTCACCTGGCCTGGTCTACATGTGATTCCAGAGCCACAGCATTGTGATTAGCTCTCAACTGCCCTCTGAAATGGCTTAAGAAGCCACTTCGGTGTATCAATTGCTATGAAGCCTCAACAAAGAAATGCAACTGAATAGACAACCCTGGCATCAACCAAGCCACTGGAAACAACAACAGCAAATACAGCCCTTTTGACACTGCAAAGTCCTTCTCACTAACATTTGGGGTCTAGTGCCAAAATTGGGCATAACATGGAATCATACCTTACAGACAGCGTCCCATACACCACCATCATCATCCCTGGAAATGTCCTGTCCCACCAGGGAGCTGATGGCCTAGTGGTATTATTGCTGGACTGTTAATCTAGAGACTCAGATAACATTCTGGGGACCCAGGTTCAAATCCCGCCACAGCAGATGGTGGAATTTGAATTCAATACACATGTCTGGAATTAAGAATCTAATGATGCCCATGAATCCATTGTCAATTGTTGGAAAACTCCATCTGGTTCACTAGTGTCCTTTAGGGAGAGAAACTGCCATCCTTACCTGGTCTGGCCTACATAGGACTCCAGAACCACAGCAATGTGGTGGACTCTGAACTGCTCTCTGGGCAATTAGGGATCGGCAATAAATGCTGCCTAGCCAGCGACGCCCTCATCCCATTAATGAATTAAAAAAAAAAACAGCTGGACAGGACCAGAAGAGGTTGCACAGTGGTAAACTGTTGGGAAGGCACTGTCCTGGGAGTCCTCAACATTGATTCTGGACCCCATAAAGTCTCATGGCATCAGATTAAATATGGGCAAGGAAACTGCTTGCTGATTATCACCCACTGTCCTCCCTTAGCTGATGAATCAGTACTCCTCTATGTTGAACAATACATGGAGGAAGCACTGAGGCTGGAAAGGGCACAAATGTATTCCGGGTTGGGATTTTAAAGGTTTGACAGCAGCACCACTGATCAAGCTGGTTCAGCCCTAAAGGGCTTACTTGTTAGACTGCGTCTGCAGCAGGTGGTGAAGGAAGAACAGGCTCTCCAATCTGCTGAGTGCAGATGCATCTGTCCATGACAGCATTGGTAAGAGTGACTATCGCACAGTCATTATAGAGACAAAATCCCAAAATGTCACATAGAATACCGTCCATAGTGTTGTGTAGCACTATCACCATGCTAAATGGGACAGACTTCAAGCAGATCTAATAAATCGAGACGGGGTATCCATAAAGCACTGCGGCCATCAACAGCAGTAGAATCATACAACAGCATAAATTGCAACCTCATGGCTTGGCATATCCCCTATCCATCCCATACCGCCCCAACCCCGAGACATTACCATCAAGCCAGGGGATCAATCCTGGTTCAAAGGACAGTGCAGGAGGGCATGCCAAAAACAGCACTAGGCATATCTAAAAATGAGGTGTCAACCTGGAGAAGCTATCAAAGAGTACTACTTGCATGCTGCATAAGCTGCAAATGATAGATGGAGGTAAACAATCTCACAAGCAATAGATGAGATAAAAGTTCTGCAGTCCTGCCACATCCATCACGAATGGTGGTGGACGGTTAAACAACTCATGAGAGGATGAGGCTCCAAAAATATCCCCATCCTCAATGATGAAACAGCCCAACATATCGGTGCAAAATCTTTAGCTGGAAGCACTCATCACAATTTTCAGCCAGAAGTGTCAATTGGATGATCAATCTTGGCCTTTTCCAGTGATTGCCAGCATCACAGATGCCAGTCTTTAACAAATTTGATTCATTCCTTGTGATAGGTAAGAAATGGTTGGAGGCCCTGACAGCATTCCGGCAACAGCACTGAAGATCTGTGCTCCAGAATGTGCAGCTCCCCTACCTAAGCTGTTCCAAGACTTTTACATCAATGGCATCTACCTGACAACATGGCAAATTGCTTAGGTGTGTCCTGTACAAAAAGCAGGACAATCCAAGCTGGCCAAATATTGCTCCAAGGAGGGAGCAAGAAGGGCACTGGAGGAGGCCCAGGATAGACATGTCACCAAGGGAGTGGGAGGGGGAGTTAAAATGGTTAGCGACTGGAAGGTGTTGTTGATTATAGGGTACGGAGCACAGACGCTCCGCAAATCTGTATCCGAGTCTACGTTTGGTCTGACGGACGTACAGGAGGCCACATCGGGAGCAACGGATACAGTAGATCACGTTGGAGGATGTACAGGTAAACCTCTGTCAGATATTGAAAGTTTGTTTTGGGCCTTGGATGGAGGTGAGAGGGGAGGTGTAGGGGCAAGTGTAGCACATCCTGCGGTTGAAGGGAAAGGTGTCGGGGGTGGTGAGGTTGGTGGGGAGTGTGAAACAGACGAGGGAGTCACAGAGTGAGCAGTCCCTACAAAAGGCAGATAGGAGTGGGGAGGGAAATATCTCTTTTATGGTGGGGTTGGATTGTAGGTGGTGGAAGTGGCGGAGGATGATGTGCTGGATGTGGAGGTTGGTGGGGTGGTATGTGAGGACCAGGGGGACTCTGTCTTTATTTTTGTTGGGGGGAGGGGGATTTGAGGGCAGCGGTACAGGAAATGCAAGAGATGCAGCTGAGGCCATTTTCCCTCGGATATCCAGGAGTGGAATGCTCCAACTTGGGAGCAGATGCACTTCCTCTCACCCACCCTCCTACAAGAATGCGATTTCTTATTCCCAAATCCTCCGCCTCCACTGCATCTGCTCCCAAGATGGAGCGTTCCACTCCCAGACATCCCAGATGTCCTCCTATTTCAAGGACCACAATTTCCTCCCTCCATTGATCGAAAATGCCCTCAATTGCATCTCTTGCATTTCCTGCACTTCTGCCCTCAAACTCCCTCTCCCCAGTCCTGATGAAGGGTCTAGGCCCGAAACGTCGACTCTCCTGGTCCTCTGATGCTACCTGACATGTTGTGTTCCTCCAGCTCCACACTGTATTGACAATATTGTGCTACCAGTCTAGTCTCAATCATCAGTAATGTGATGGAAGGTGTCATCAACAGGCTCTAAGGCAGCACCGACTCAGCAATAACCTATGGCTTATGCCCAGTCTGAGATCTGCCAGTGCCAATCAGGTCCTGACCTCATTATAGCCTTGGTTCAAACATGGACAAAAGAGCTGAATTCCAGAAGTGAAATGGGAGTGATAGCCCTTGACATCAAGGCCTCATTTGAACGAGTGTGGCATCAAGGAGCCCTAGCAAAACTGGAATCAATGGGAATCAGGGGGCAAAATGCTCTGCTGGCTGGAGTCATACCTAGCACATAGGAAAATGGTTGTGGATTGTTGGAGGTCAGCCATCTCAGCTCCAGGACATCTCTGCAGGAGTTTCTCAGCGAGTGTCCCAGGCCCAACCATGTTCAGCTGCTTCAAAAATAACATTACCCCCATCATTAGATCAGAAGTGGGGATGTTCATCCATGACTGCAATATTTTCAGCATCATTTGCAACCCCTTAGATACTGAAGCTGTCCATGTTCAAATGCAACAAGACCTGGATAATGTCCAACTTGGGCTGACAAATGGCAAGTAACATTTGTGCCACACAAATGCCAGGCAATGGCCATCTCCAATAAGAGACAATCTAACCACTACCCCTTGACATTCAATGGTGTTACCAACACTGAACTCTCTATTATCAATACCCTGGGGTTACCATTGACCAGAAACTCGCTGGACTTGCCATTAAAATACATTGGCTATGAGAGCAGGTCAGAGACTGGGAATAGTGTAGTGAGTAACTCACCTCCTGAATGCCCAACGCCTGTCCACTGTCTACATGGCACAAGTCAGGTCATTGAATCATAGAATCCCCACAGTATGGAAACAGGCCATTCAGCCCAACAAGTCCACACCGACCCTCCGAACAGCATCCCACCCAGATCCAATCCCCTACTCTATTCCCGCATTTCCCATAGCTAATGCACCTAACCTACATATCCATTAACGCTAAGGGGAATTTAGCATGGCCAATCCACCTAACCCATCTTTGGACTGTGGGAGGAAACTGGAGTACTCAGCAAAACCCCATGCAGGCATGGGTAGAACATTAACCTCCACACAGAGGGTCACCCAAGGTTGGACTCGAACCCAGGTCACAGGTACTGTGAGGCAACAGTGCTATGGAATACTCCCCTCTTGCTTGGATGGGTGCAATTCCAAAAACACTCAAAAACTTGGTACCATTTTACTAGATCATCTCCTTCTAGATTCTGTACATATATGTCAGTGCCAAATCAAAATGGATGAGGGTTTAAAGAAATTAGCCCTTGGGCTTCAACCATCAATAAGAGATACAGGTGATGTTCCCACCTCCACATTAACTTTACATAAATGAAACAATATATTTTGGGCCTCCTGTCTTACTTGACTGCTTGGCCTCAGAAAATTCCCATAATGAGAAAGCCACCAGTGGCTGGAAGAATTTCTTTGAAGTTGGAAGAACACTCTGGTCCTCTTTAGTCCATCGGAACATTTTGTTTTAACTGAGCTTTTGCTGGTGAGCGCAGAAATTAGTGAGGAATCCTGAGCTCAAATGTGGGCCGAGGCATCTCCAACTCTTTGGCAATTGGTATCTTGTTGGCAATACTGTAGCTAGGCCCTTGATTTACTGATAGGACACCAAGAAAAGCACCATGAATTTAATTATATGTTCATGCATGGTCAGGTTGGGTGGGTACAGCCAAATGACAGCACGCTTTGTGCAAAATTTTACGTCCCAAAGAATGGTTAACATGTACTAATTTCTAACCACCCATATTTAGACATGTAAATCTTTCAAATTTGCCCCAACAGCACACCCACCCTGCTTTCTTACCATGCAGGTTAATCAATGCACTAAATGGTTGGGAGGGATAGGAGTTGTTAGAAGTTTTCACTCTTACCTCAGTCTGAATCATGTTAATGCGCCATGAGGACAGAGTCTTCACACAGTTGTAAACATCAATAACACCTTCATACTTTGCCATGTCCATTATCACGTCCAAAACAATGTAGCATCCAGTTCTCCCGGTACCAGTGCTATGATGCCCGAAACAAAGAGTAGGTTGTAAAGCATGTTGAGCAGTATCTGGCACTAGGTAATTAATAATTGATGAATACTGTCCATGTCACTCATTGTAATTATTTTATCAACATGCTACATTGACAAAACTAAAATTAACTTAACAGAAGAAATTGTGCAGCAGAATGTTCTTACTAATGTGAAACAAACCTCCTGAAAATTTTCAGCAGAATAATTAAGTGTACCCATGAATGATCATTTGATGTATATTTTATCATCTTGTTAATGCTAAAGTAGTGTCTGTTATTAGACACTGAGTATTATGTGCACGTTTATTAAGCACACTGTGATGATGAACCTGTCATGTTGAAATAAAGTAGATAATAGTTATCATTGTGTGTGAAATACAGATGATTTATTTTTGGTCTGTTGTTGGTTGCTTTAATAATGCTGAATTTATAAAACATAATCATTGCATCAGTTTTTTAATCCTCACTCTGAATTTGAAAATTAATTAAAGTATTGCCTGATATGTGAGGCCAGAAGAAACTTGGTTCTGCTGAGGAAGAAACATACAGGATTGAACAGGCACCTAAATTGGCTTTTTAGATACTTTTGATCAATTTTGTCACACATGTCATGATACACCTTCAGAGTAGGTGGGACTTGAACACAAGCCTTATGGCCGAGAGATGGGGACAGTGCTAGTACATCACACAAGCCCTTAAATTAGTTTCATACATTAAGCAAGATTGCAATTAGCTCTTGATGTACAAGTTTGGCTCATGAATCCCTCATGAAATGAGTCAAATACAGCAAGATGAGCCAGAAAATGTATGCATTCTTCCAGTTGTTATCTTCATTGATTCTGTTAAGTTTAATTTGGAGCACATGGGGGATATGTCAGTGGCATTGACATGAAACTAGAATAATAACAAAGTCAGCCTTATGTTGTTCATGCTTTGGATACTTCAACCAATTTATTAAAAACACTTCACCCTTGCTCTTGTCGGTAAGGCAGACAAAGGGACATAGAATGCAGTTTGTGGTTCAACTCGATTTTATTAACAAAATATTCCTTTTTAAAAACACTTTGTGAGCATTTCCCAAATTCCCACAATATTTATCTGGCTCTATCTGTCTGAGAAAGGATATTATCTGCAATGATCCATCTGTTTAAGTTGGGCTATTGGAATCTCCACCCTCTCTTCCACAAAGTTGGGTCTCACAGGTCAGGGTGGATTTTCTCCTGGGTCTTCTGTGGGTTGCTGCATGGTCTTTTGCCATGAGTCTTGCTGTGCATCTTTGCTGACTTCCAAGTGTGTTTTTATTCCTCTTAACCTGGACCTTTCTGAATGTTCTGTGGCCTTTGGCCAATTAGATCATGAGCAGGGTAGGAAATATCCAGTTGGGTCCCGCCAACACCCTTCATTGTTGCTAATGCAGGGGAGGTGTAAAGTGCACGGCCTCAGGCACTGGAAGTCAAGGTGCCAGAAATTCTCATCAATACTCCTCCATTACGCATTCCTCGAGCTGGTTGTAACCGGTTCACACTGAAAATGTGATCTCTTTGACCTTGGTTTCCACTGTTTTCTGTTGCCAAAAGCTGTTGGCTGGTGTTTAATTTAGTTTGGCCAATTTTCTACCAGGTCCGATTTCTCTGAATGTGGGTCAATTAACAAAGTCCAATTTTGTGGGCCCATGGTCACGTGAGCACATATAGAAAGGTACTGGAGAATGGTAACGTATGCATTGATTTTCTTAAAGTATGTGTGTTCATGGTTTAAAGCAAGTTGTGAAAGGAATTCTAGGAATCCCTTCTTAGGGCGGCACGGCAGCTCAGTGGTTGGCACAGCTGCCTTACAGCGCCAGGGACTTAGGTTCGATTCCAGCCTTGAATTTGCACATTCTCCCCGTGTCTGCATGGGTTTCCTCCGGGTGTTCTGGTTTCCTCCCACAACGCAAAGATGTGTAGGTTAGCCATGGGAAAAGTGGGGTTATAGGGTAGGAGGGGGTGAGTCTGGGTGAGATGTTCTTCAGAGAGTCGGTGTGGACTTGTTGGGCTGAATGGCCTGTTACCACGCTGTAGGGATTCTCTGAATATTGAACCAAAGTCGTAGATATCAAGCTCTAAAGGTTATTCTGAGACTGTAAAGTAGGCAATCCTTATGGAACTACTGCCTATTGTATAGTACTTATTGAAAGAGTGAATATCAGAAATAAAGATAGAATTAAGTTATACTGCACTTTCTATAACAGCTGGATGTCTCAATGCGTTTTACAGTCTATGAGTACTTTTGAAATTCTAGTGTGCACATAGTGAACTCCCACAAACATCAATTGACAAGATGACTACAATCTGTTTTTGTGACGTAATTTCAGGGATAATATTAGCCTGAACAGCAGGGATAACTTGCTGTCCTCTGAAATACTGTCATGGGGTATTTTGCATCCATTCAAACAGGTAGATGGGACTTTGGTTTGCGAAAGATAGAACTCCTGTACTGCACTTGAATGTCAGCCTTTATTTCTGTGCTCAAGTGTTGAAGAGGAACTTGAATCCAGGTCTTGTCACCCAGAAGCAAGAACGCCAACTGAGCCAGAATTGTCACATCGACAGGAAACCTTCGCTTTGTTCACCTTGTCACAAACATTGCCTGACGAGCTCAGTATCTGGCATATCTGCTTTTATTCCTTATCGACTTCTAATTAATACATGGCATAAAGGGTATACATGAACATGTGACCAAGAAGAGAAGAAAGCAATAAGATTCATATCAAGTGTAAAGAAGATGAGGAAGGATTATCAACATTTTATGCTTCACAGTCTGGAACGAAAACATTTAAACTGTAGACAAGATAATTCCAGAACAATAATTTAAAGTAATTTGGGAATCTTGACTAGAAGAAGTAAACATAAATCAGAGAAAACTGAATAATCTGAGTGATGAAGATTTAAAGTAAAAAAAAGTAATTGGCCGGAAATTCAGACTTTGCATTATGATCTTCGGATAAGCATCTATTTATTGTGGAAGGTACAAATCAGCCAGGTTTCACCTCCTAAATCTGAAAACCACTTCATGCACACTTTCCAGTACATGTCACTAGACAAGGGGCAGCAGAAGGAACAAAGCTGATTTTCCTAGCTGAAGCTAGGAAACTTTCTGGTTGCTGTTTAGAAATTGCTGAGTTTGGAATCCAAAATAACTGCATAGAGCACCGTGTATTTACTTGTGCACAATACACTGTGACCAGCAGCTCAGAGTCAGTCCACTAAACTGAGGAGATTCTAATCTCCTGTTAATATTGGTTAGCCAGGGCTTTCCTGATTGGCCCAGGTTAACATCCCCAATCAAAGACCTTATATTCAACAGGATCAATCTGGTTCCAATCATTACAAAATCCAATGGCAGAGAAACAAGCAAATCTGGTCTGTAACAGCTTCATTACACTTCTGGCAGTACATTTTGCCAGTAAATCAATGGGAAAATCTTATGCTACCCCAATGCCTAAACACTTTTCCCTTAAAAAAACTTTAAAGATGGCTCATTTCAGACAGTTGTTCACTGTTGCTTAACTTTAAGTTAATGTCTGAGTTGTTATTTGGTCTCTAACCTGCAGTGGATAACTAGTGGTCCCAATTCAGAAGAATTAGCAGCCTTCACACGGCGAATAAATGCGAGGAGACCTGTTGCGTGACAGGGAACTCCATGTTCTGGCCAGGCTGTGAAATGAAACTGCTGAATTTCACGTCTGGCTGAGCAACCTGTCTATAAGAAATAAAACGGAATCTGTAAATGAGTGTGTCAACAGTTGAAGATAGAAGAAAGCAAATTCACAACAGCCATTTAGATCGTCCCTGAAATGCTTGGAACCAATAGAAAAAAATTATCAGCAATTAATTTGATTTTCTTTATACATTGATTTGAATTGCAAATGAGTACCTTAGTTTTGAAGTTTATAAATATGGATACTCATCAAGGTGAAGTCTGTTCTGGTTCTACATTTCAGATTGGAGCTATGCTAGAAAGTAGACAGCAGATTTGCCAACCAAATTGAAAGCATTAATATTTAGCAAATCTTGGCTCCTTTGGACTAATTTTGGTTTGTTACTTAATTGACTCTAAAAATGTTCTGCCATAAATAAAATGCACAGTGGTTCAATTAAACTTTAGTGAACAGCGTTGAATGGGTGACATCGAATTGAACACCAATTAAATGACCTATCCTGAATTTATTGCTGCTGTGTTGTCAGCTTATGTACAGATATATTCCTAATGGGATTGGTGGAAAGAAGAACATTCTCTGGGACAATAAAGGATGCCTGAGCTCCTTAAAATAAAGCCATGGGACCCTTGGTTTTAGGCAGGCAGAACCTCAATGTAACATGTCCTCTAGTAGACTGTACTGTTGTAGATGTAACCCTACCTTTGTACTGAGCTGGAAAATCAGTCTAGATTATGTACTCATGCTGGTGGTGCAGCAGAATTTGCTGCAGAAGGAGGTTGGGGACGGGGTTCACTAATGGGATTGTAGTAATGTCACTGGGCTAGTAATGTAGAAATTCAGGTTAATGTTTTGGAGACTTGGGTTCAAATTGCATCATGACAGATAGTGAAATCTAAATTCAATAAAAATTTAATTCAAAAAGCAAGCCTTACTGACGAACATGTAACCACTGAGAATCACTGCAAATGAAACATCGGGTTCATTAATGTCCTTTTAGTAAAATAAATCTGCCTTTCTTACCTGGTATGGCTTACATGTGACTCCTGATCCACAGCAATGTGGTTGGCATATAACCGTCCTCTGGGCAATTAGGGATGTGTTATAAATGCTGGCCTAACTAGTGATGAAGCCGTGAACAAATTTTATAAAAAAATGAAAATGCCAGTTCTAACCTTGATTATGTAAAATAACCATTCAAACTGAGTTTGTGGAGTTTAGATCAACAGATTTAAATGTGAAGCAAAGAAATGTGATGACTAGGTCAGATAGTTAAGTGGACAGGTTTGGAGAGATTTTACCCTGAAAATCTGCTGTGTAGTCAATTAGCTAATAGACTGAATCTGGTTTCTTTATGCTCAGTTGGTTATGAAGACAGGGTTTTTTAGTTTAGTTACAAACGTAGGCGAAAAAAACTGAGCAGATTTCTGAGAATTTTGTGAGTGGGGGTGTTCAGTTAATATTGAAGTAATGGGGAGAAATGAGATACTTTTTTCCTTTCATTTTTGTTTTTCTATCTTTATTGCCCTGGAGGAACAGGTCCTTGCTCAGTTAAAGGAGTTAGCTGTTTCATGAATATTTAGTAAGTAGTTAAAAGTTCTAAGCTATTCTTAATATTTAAAGTATTATTCAAATTTGAATAAAATAGACTATATAAAGAGCATTAATAAGCAAATAATATAATTAAGTAATTATTAAATTTTATCAAGGATGTGTTAAGGCTGCAGCATATGGGAGCTCCCGGATACAATTGTGATCTATGTCAAAAACATCCAGAGTAAGTGTTTGTGGCTTGAACAGCTTCAGCTCAGATTTATTGAGCTGGAGGCTGAAATGCAGTCTTTGCAATAATTAGGAAAATGGACAGTTACTTGGATGCATTGTACCAGGAGACAGTCACGCCAATTTGCGTAAGATTTTCTGATTTGGTCAATTGTCAAGAACAGAAAGGTGTGTGATTAAGAGTGAGATAAGTAAGGGAACCTGGGCCAGCAGTGCAGGAGTGTCAATCTTTGCAATTGTCTAACAAGTCTGAAGTTCTCTTAGCGTATTTAGCTGAGAGTGGAGGCTGTATGGTGGATGGTCAAATTGACTATGTTAGCATGGTACAGGAAACCATTCAAATGGGGCGAGGAACAAGGAATTTAATGGTACTAGGGACAGTATAGTCAAAGGGATTGACAATTGATTCTCTGCAGCAAACAGAGACAGCCTCCATAGCTGTATTATTTACCAGGTGCTAGGGCTTGAGAAATCTACTCAGGATCCAGTTGTCATGGTCCATGTCGGTACAAATGATGTAGGTAGAAAAATTAAAAAGGACAGCCTCCACATAATATCAAATTATTACCTGATCCATGCTCAAATTTACATAGGATATATTAAATTGGAGAGACAAATAAGTGATTTGAAGATTGATGTGGAAGAAGTAGATCAAAGGGCACTGACATTAGGTCTGGGGAAAGTGAGGGGTATAGCATTGGGATGATCTCCACTTGAATCATGCTGAGACCAATATTCTTGTGAATCTCATAACTAGGCAAGTAGAGAGGTTTTTAAAGTAAATAGTGGGGTAAGAGTTCAAATGTGGAAAGATGTAATATATTAAAGAGTAGAGGCAAAGTAAGAGAGCAAAACACTAATGAGGGCAAGAGAAAGCAGGAAGGGATGTGAAGAGAAAAATATCTAAACGGGTATCAACAATCAAAACCAGATGCTAAAAATGTACAAAAGACAAAAATAAAGGTTCTGTGTCTGAACATGCATTGTATTCCTAATAAAGTAAACAAATTGATAAAAGACAATGAAGTAAATAAATATGATCTGGTAGCAATTATGGAGATGTAGCTTCAGGATGACCAGAATTGATTTCTGAATTTTGAGGGATATATGACATTCAAGAAAAATAGGAAACTAGGTAAAGCTAGACTGGTACAGTAATTAATCATTTGCATAAAAGCAAAATACGGTGAATGCTGGAAATCTGAAACAAATGCTGAGAATGCTGGAGAAACTCAGCAGGTCTGGCAGCATCTGTACAGAGAAAAACATCTCACATCTGGTATGACTTCTCTCAGAACTCAAAAATGTTGGAAAATGATTTCTTTTATGTTTTTAACAAAGGGAGAGCATGGGCCCTCTCTACTGAGAGCACAGTAGACAAGATACAAACAAGACAAGGCTGTTATGGGGGTGGTGGGTGGGGCAAGAATGTAAGAAAAGTGGACAACAGACATAATGCAGTCATTTCTGAAGTTATGGAATCCAGGGTTCAGACCTTGAGGCTCTAAAGTACCTAAGCAGAAAATGAGGTGTTATTTTGTTGGAACATTACAGCATATCCAGGACTAAAGTGAGACTAAAAGAGAACAAGAGATAGTAGGAACTGCAGATGCTGGAGAATCTGAGATAACAAGGTGTAGAGCTGGATGAACACAGCAGGCCAAGCAGCATC